ATTACCAAATTTGATTACTGATAAAAATTCACTATAGTTTGTCTCAAAATGTTTTGTCCTGAAATTTCAGTGGTCTTTGAAAAGACAACTTAGAAATATCCTAGAACATTGATATTTGGCAATAATGATGCTTATGCAATATGATTAAGAATTAATGCCAAATAATGTGACAATGATATTGGTATGCCTCCTCTGGGACACACGAAAACATAATTAAATTCAAATAGATCTATATAAACCCCATATCATCTTCATAGGATCACCTGCATTGACATCAATTCAAATATTTGATCATCAAAAATCATTTCAATAAAGTGTCGATATTACCATGAATATCGACGGCCGCCATTACTTACTATAGTAGTAGGCCTACTTATCACGACTTGCACATTAGTTCTCAAAGCGCAATCTAAAATATAATGAAATCTGTAAAACATTAAAATAACATGTAAAATACTTTAATTAACTTAGAATTGTTTATTTTAATTCATAAAACACAAACTTAATCCACTAACATGCATTCCTGTCATTTCCTGACTTTCCTGCCATTCATTGGCAGGAATTCCTGACATTAGTAGGACGCCCTGCAATTGTAACTTTAACAGTTCACGCCTTTGGTTCTCTTTATAGCTGACGCACACAGGACACTCGTTGACTTTGCCGAATTTACACGATATGGGTAAAGTTACTTTTATATATATAAATCGATGGCACTATTGCAAATATAGCCAAAATTTCTGCAATAACTTTGCATGTAGTGTTGATATTGCCCAGATATGCGGTCAACTTAGGGATACCAAGATAAGTAATTCGGTTAATAGCTTCGACATTTTCAGCATTTCCCTGTTATCAAGATATTTCTCTTGAGGATAACTCTGGAAATCTTGGATAGGATACAACTAAAATTTGCATGAATTATTACACGAATTACAGGTTTCGAATTCCTGAGTTCCGACATGGTTGGATCACTTTCCCAGGTTTTTTTTGCAAAGAAAAATAAACATTTGTGATTGTTTCTTGATCTTGAAAAACTTTATGTTTAGGTGAAAATTACAGAAAATTAAGCACAGAGACCTTTCCTTTTTTAACACGAAAAGTATCCTCAAAAATTTCTCTATCAAAGCCTTATGTCATTAAAAGTTTGATATTAGAAAATGGTCAAATATAAGATAGATGTAATTTTGGAGCATTTTCTTTGTTTTTTTTTTTTTGGTTGCTATGGAGATTAAAGCTCTTTAAATTAGGTGAAAACTTAGCATTTTCACAGAACTTTTTTCTCCTTAATATCCCTTACTTTGTAATAAAGGAAAAAAAATTATTCAAAAAATGGTTACTTCGGAAATAACAAAGTATGTCTGTTATTCAGCGAAGAAACAAGAATTATATGTGGAATTGAATAATTACCTGTTCTAATATATATTCTGACGTCTGCGCTGGAAAAAGTGGTGCAGCAACATATTGATTTTTTACTTTTAATCAACTTTCTAAGATCAAAACCTTTCAAAAACTCATAAAAAAGTTTAATACGGGAATTTTTTTTTGTCTTTATACATTCTTAAAATAGCTACAACTCTAAATGCGCCTCAATTGGCTGAGATAAGCTAACAAGTTGTGTCTATGAAGAGGTAACAGAGGTTACAGGTAACAACTTGGATGGAGATGAATTGTGTACGCCATTCTCAACTGTGAAATTTTTTAAGGTTTTGCAAATTACAGCTATCATATGGTTTGATTTCAGAATTTTAAAAATTCCAAACAATAATTATACTTATTTGATTTTGAATACATCAGTTTTACCCCAAAAAGAGGCATGATTCACATAAAGCCTTACATTTACTATGAACATGGGCCATTTGTTTACACTTGGTCCCTGGACCCGACCCCATGAAAATGAGAGGTCCTAATGAGTGTCCTGGGAGGAATGAGTGTCTTGGGAGTGTCCTGTGACATATTTAGCACCCACCAGTTCATTAATAAAGATCATTTTGTGTTTTTTTTTTCTTTTTTTGGTATTATCAGGGCTCTCGATCTGCCAGATTTGGGGCGATATTTGGCCCCATTCCCAATGCAAAATAGTATCTTTTTTTTCCCAATTTAGACCCCAAGTTCTCCCAATTCTAAGGAAAACACCATTATTTTTCCCACTTCTAAGGGCCCCGGGCCCCAGTCCCAAAATGGGGTGAGAGAGCCCTGATTATTCACTTTTCACCAACGTCTATCAACATGCAAAAAATTGTTCTGATTAACCGACAGAAAAGTATTGAAATACACTGCCGAAGTTGATGCGGAGTGTGCACAACTAACACTATACTGAACTACCTAGTAGGAGTAAGTGTCCTTTGAGACTCTCACATGCCGGGCATTTCATTAATAAAGACTTTTTAATAATTCATTTTGTATTATATACTTTACACCAATGTCTACCAACATGCAAGAAATGGTTCTGATTGACAGACTGAAAAATATTGAATTACACTGCTGTACTTGACGCAGAGCATGCACAACTAACAAAATAATGACCTACCATGTAGGAGTGAGTGTCCTGCAAGGTTTTCAGTTGCTCAGCATTTCATTAATTGAGATTTTTAGCCCACCATCATGAGATGGTGGGTTTAAATTGCTCTGCGTCCGTGGCCCTTGGTACCTAGTTGTGCCCATTTGATTTTGGGCCTGATCAGAAAAGCAAAATGGCAGACAGGTAGGCATCTTTGATTTTTTCAATAAAGTTATCGCTATTTCATGAAAAGTAACAGATGGATCTCTCTTAAATTTCACATGTAGGTTCCCCCTGGTCTCTAGTTGTGCCCATGTAATTTTGGGACTGATCAGAAAAACAAAAAATGGCCAAAAGGTGGCCATCTTGGGTTTTTACTTTGAAAGTTTTGTTATCACTATTTCTTGAGAAGTATTTTATGGATCTTTCATAAATTTCATATGTAGGTTCCCCTTGGTCCCTAGTCGGGCCCATTTGATTTTGGGTATTATTAAATCATCTATATATTTTGTTGTAAATTATTGATCTAATATCTGTTCTGCTGTACTCTGTGAATTCTTAAATTATTGCATCATGACCAACATAGCTTTGACCTCCGCTTTCCTATAGGCAGTTGTTTCGATCTACACATATTGTAGAGACTTGTATGTCCAGTTTGTTGTATAATAAAACACTGTAATGAATGTTATTGGTACATGTATTATTATTTCTTGTTCAATTGATTTTCATGATTTGTTTTAGCAGAAACATATATATGTGTTATGTACATCTCTGGTTTTAGTGTTGTGTATGAATATAATGACCCTCAATTCATTTTGGTGTTGTTTACCGTGTGTATGTGAGGGTATATCTTTCTTTTACAAGTGTTTTTCAGGATTCGTTTTATTGCTTTGTATGAACAACGTTTGTATTGTCATTCTACTGTATACATTGTGTGAAGGGGTTGCATCATTGAATAAGATATTATCCATGCTTCATTCAGATGACAGTTTGCTTTCTTTGAATGTCACAACACAAAGATTTTAGGATTTAATGCATGTGTACAAATAAATAATATAAGTTGTACATAAAACTGAGATTCTATGATAATTCCATATTATAGATTTTATAAGGAATACCATCATTACCTGTCATTTGTAATTGTCATTCTGACAAAACGTGTCTTGAATGGCAGTTTTGATTTAATATTTTATATCAAATATTGGAAGATATAGTTGAAATTTTACCTTTAGTTCAATAGTAGGTCTTCTGTTTCCAACAAATAAAATTGTATATTCCTTCAGCTAGAACTAACTATTTTTAATGTTCAGTTTTGATAAATCTTATAAGTGAAAATATTAGAAAATTGCTGATAGTGTAATTGCTTTGAAACATAAATATGTCAAGGATTTTTCCCCCAAAATTTTTTTAGATTTGTACCAAATATATCTGATGTATTATGCTACTTTGATTAGAAGTGTATAGGTCATTATATATCTTAGTAAGTATAAATTCATATGTGATATTTTCATCTTCTATGTATTGTAGGTTTACTGAATCTTAAACTTCATATGTTATTTTTTTTATATAATATGTATCTGAAAGCTTACTGTGATATCTGTATATATGTTACTGCAGGGCCATATTGTAAATTGGACATGCCTAAATATGTAGCCCTGGATAGATAAAAGGTTTATTTATTATCATTATTAAAAATTAATGTTAAAACAGATCAGTGAAATAGTACAAATGCCTGGACACTTTTGTTAAATTAAGAAAACCATTTTAGAATAAATGTTAATTTAGTTTTATAAATCAACTGATGTGTTTTGGTATTGTTGTCATAAAGTATGTGTGAACTTGGCATTACTGGAAGACAAAAAGAAATAAAAACCTCAGACATTTAAAAAAAAATGCAAATATGGAATGTTTTGTGTACACAAAATGCCAAGTAGTTGTTACAAAAAGTATATGACTTTTAAGGTCTTGTGACATCTGATACCAGCCGGAGTACTAAGTACATTGTTCATATATACACCAAACAGTCTCTGTTATTGCTATTTCTAGAGAAGTACTGGAGGATATTTCTCAATCTGTTAACTTTGAGACTGGGAAGAAATAGCTGCAAGTTGACCATCATAGATATGAATTTTAACATTTTATAAATGCTATTTCTTGGGAATAAATAGACCAAGAAAAAAACAATTTCTTGATGTGATCACTTGTTTAAATAAGTCGACATGCATCTATTACTTTTTTCATCGAAAGATTGCACTCAGTGTACTTTGGTAAAAGTTCTATTTAATTTATTATACTTTTGTATTAAAACTAACATTTAAATATAGTCCTTTTTCAGCCTGACGGTATTGGAAACTATCATGATAAATTCCTTTTGTACAATGTAAAATGATGTAGTCAAAATTCTTATTAGATTTACTCTTTTATTTTACAGATGTCATAAATATAGACATGGGGGAAATGACCATATAAAACGAAAGGCTCAGAGCTACTTGATTTAACTCCTACAACATGGAAGAGGTACTCAAGGAATTTTACCGATGTAGGATTTGTGATGAACCTATTACCTACCCGAAGAAACTCAGATGTCAGCACGTTTTTTGCCATGAATGTTTGGTACTTTACATCACTGAATTCTATGGCAAAGCTTCGTTTCCTTGTCCAGTATGCGGATATAAACATTTGCCCGAGGAACAAGAATCGGTTGTTTCACAGGATACATTACTGATACTAGAGGAAGATACTCTTATGAAGGATGTCCAGCAGTTTTTCAAAAATGGCGAAGAACCTGAAGCGATGTATAGTGTGAATAATATGATTCCAGTATCATGTAATCTTCACGATGAATATATGTACGATTACTTCTGTGTGAATTGCAACATGCTTGCTTGCCATAAATGCAGACGAGAGATGCATGTACGTTGTGAGCTACACAAGATTGACAAGGGTATGCATATGAAAGCATTCAACAATAGCAAGGAAGTCGCAGAACAACTAACTAACTTTCTGTCTGAAACTGAAGAATTACACAACATTCTTAACACAAAAATAGGAAACATCGTCCCTGACCCTGCAACACATGATGAAACAATCAAGTTGTATTATTCAGAATTACGAGAAAAAGTTGTTCAGTACCTGGCAGAGCAAGAGAGGAAAGTACTAGAGAAAGCAAAAGAACTTCGAGAGAATGAGATAGCATACTTAGAGCGCGACGCTGTGGTTTGTGATAAGATGGCGTCATCTGTAAAATTACAACAGGAACTTGCACTTGCTGTACAAAAACAAATTACTACACATGCACCGCAAAATTTAGTTGTAACGAACCATTTAAGGAAAAATTTGGAAAGATTTAAAACGATGTTTTCACAACTACAATCAGATATCGACACAGAATATAATGTACGATTCATTGTCAACACAGAGTTGGAGGACAAATTGGCCGACACGGACATCGTGAAGATCGAAATTGTTGATTGCTGTCATATGGATGCTTGTGCTGTTACTTTCCAGGAAGATGCTGTTGTTGACCAGCAGGTACGCGCCGAACTGGATTCTGCATTGTCAACTCCTGATAGGTCTTCGTTAATGACCACACAACATGAAGAAATGTCGCCCCCCCTTCCACCTGAGGAACCACCACCGACTTATAATAGTGTAGCTCGACAATCCTTCATACAAAGACGGCGTCCTTTGAACTCATCGGTTATTCGACGCCAGCCTTCAGCATCTGCCCCACCATTGTCGGCCCTTGATGATATGCCTGGACCCTCTTCCCGTCTTCATTATAGTCCCTCCACACAAGTCCATTACCCTTCTGCTGACGGTCGCTCCACTGTGCAACCATCTGCGCCCCCGCTGTCCCTGAGTGCATCGTCTGAACCATTTGATTCCCCACAGGAATCCACTTTTACACCAATTCCTCTAAATGCACAAACGGTCACCATGTTTAAGTATCTAACAAAGATTGATACAGTAACAGACAAAGACGAGTTTAATCCTTCCTTGATGGGCATTGTGTCTTTAGGAGAATTCTTTGTCGTGGCAGACAAAAAAAACAAGTGCCTTAAACGCTTCAGAAGTGATGGGTTTGGTTCCTTAGTTGACCAATTCTACTGTGCATCGGAGCCATGGGATGTCGCTGGTATATCAGACACTCTCTGTGTTGTGACTGCTCCGGAAGAAGGTGATATACTCTTTGTATCCTTTGCAGATACACCTGGTGAAACACCAGCTAAGCTAGAGTTTGTGATGGAAACTGGAAAGTACATTAGTATAGGTTACTGTAGAGACAAAGACAGACTCATTTGTGGAAGAGGACCACCATTCTCTGCTGCAAGGATTGATATTTTAACTATGCGTGGAGATATCGTACAGAAAATTGACCTTATGTTCTCAATGACAGTTCCGAGGAGTCTTCTTATGTCTACAACCACATTTCTTGTGTTTTGTGATGTGCGTAAAAATGAAGTGGAGGTCTATGACATAAAAAATAGCAAAAACTCTCCTGAAGTTGTGCGGCGTTATGGGCATGATTCACTAAAAGATCCACAAGGAATCGCTTTACTGCCTGTACTGAAAAGTATTCTCATACTAGACGCTTCATCCGGCAATGTGTTTATAACATCTTATTCAGGTCATGCACGCAAGGTTGTGCATGGAGATATTAAAAGGGAACGACTAGGTGGTCACGAGGTGCAGTATACCATCAGTGTTAGTAACGACCAGAAAATCCTTGCAGTGGCCCACTACAAGGGCAAAATCTCGTTCTATGAAATCAGATACATGTAAAACTGGTGAAACTGAGATTCTTTTAAAGGTGTTATTACTTGTGTGTCTTGTTCAATGGCTTTCTATACCACATACTTATCTACAGTCCAAACATAATTTGACATCAGAATATTTATAAAGGCTACAAACAGCTTTTGCCCTAAAAGTTATTTTTTAGGAACAGACGTTAAGGCCTTACTTTGGTTGCTTAAATACTATTTAGAAGTAACCAGTGGTTAGGAAAACAAGATGTAAATTTAAGCAAACTTGGAATATTTCACAGTTGCAGATTTGCTTGGGTTTTTAATGCCATTTTTGCTTTAAAGTCAAAGTCTTTTTCAGTGGCAACAATATCACTTTTTCGCAAACTCAAAAATCAAACCAATCTTTGACTAAATGAATAGGGGTCGGAATGTTCTGGTGGCTTCTAAAACTTGGAAACCATGCCCCAGTTTTTCAAACAAGTGGTTGGTGAAGAATTCAAATTGCATATAAGGCAAATTCAATACCCAAAATATATCAATCTGACCTGTTTCAATATGTATCCAGCTGTATAGTATAGTAAAGAATGTTGTTCCATTTATCTGTGAACAGTTTAACATTCATGCAACTCTAACTATTTACCTGTTTACATGTGGCAGCTGATTTGATAGTGTAGGACCTGTTCCCATTACCACCATTCTCATGCAAGAAGGCAGCAACTGACAATTTGATAATACAAGGTTTTGAGAGATGGTGAAGTTTTATGGTAGTTTTAATAATCTCATTGAAACTTGAACTGTACGATGATCATCAGTTTGTCTGATGGTTTCGTTCATATTTACATTGTTTTAATTTGGGAATGTGAATACTGATAACTTGGAAATACCTAGATTTACATGGCAGATGTCGTTGACAAAGTAGAAGGCACTCAACCTTTCGAAAAAACTAGTCTCAGGGGTCTCTGTGTAAATATATATGCAGCTCTTATTTTACCATAGTATCCAATTTATGTGTGTATTAATATTCTGTTACCAAGTCTGTTTTCTTTCTTGTCTCACTTACCACTGGATATTATAATGCTGTGTGCCTTCGAACAACGGATACCTCATCACTCTCAGTAACGTGGATAGCATTCCACTGCATGTAGAGTTTTGTTATAGTGTACACGTAACTGATTATATATATCATTGTATCTGAAAGGATTATCAAGAATTGTTTAGTTTGTACTTGTCAATTCACTAAAGCTATGTCAAGTTTTCCAATCTTCTTGTTTATGACCTTAGCGAAACCTATTCATATAGTTATCCATTATCGCGTTTTTCTTAGGTATTAGAAAATACATTTGTAGTTAGGCGAGCCATACATTTGTTATGAACTAGGAGCATTTCGGGGCAAGGGGGGGGGGCAGTTAAATAAAATGTAATTGCTGTGAATCCATCAGTATTTAACGTGTAATGAATATCGATCACAATGAACACAGTAGCAGAATATGTGAACATCTTTAGCCATTTCATGTTTCAGGATAGAAATGTTGTGGTAATATATTTTTGTGACCTTATGATCTTTGGACTGATCAGAACAAAAATGGCTGAAAGGCGGCTATCTTGGATTTCGACAATGGAAGAGTATTTCTTGGGACGTTATGGTTAGATCTGTCCCAAATTACCTGCCTAGGTTCCAATTGGTCTGGAGTCGTGCCCTTTTCACTTGATGCCATCATGGGTTTTGGCAATGAAACATTCACGGTCTTAGCTATTTCTTGCGAAATACTGGTTATGTCTTCATCAACTTAATCATAAAATCGAAACAGACTACAGGAAACCATCTTGGATTTGACGGTTAAAATGCTATTTCTGAAGAAATTTTCAAAATTCATATAAACGAGGGCAAGAGCATAGGAAATGATAAAAAAGAAAGAAAAACATCCAACTTCTGAAGAACAAAGAATGTTCATTTTATATTACTGACATGGGTCAGATTAATGTTATTTATTTAATAATGTACTTTGAATGTGTTTAATATATAAATATTTAATTATTAATTAATTAGTTATTTATTAATTAGGAATATGTGTGTGTCAGTTAAGTAGAATAATATATGTACAGGTTAGGCAGAACTATAGTTAATAGCATTGTACTATATTGCATCACTGAACTGTGTTCATAGGCTGGTTCTAGTACATGGGCATGAGACATGCTGAGTAGACCAGACATAAAATGTACAGTTTTGATTTTTGGATTCCATCTGGAGGAAAAATTACTAGTATTTTAAGTGTAGGGACTAGACTCTTTGACAGAAGGATAAAGATAGAATAGGAAAGGAAAATGTCAGGATTTTGGATGAAAGTAATATATTTAGACAAAGGATTCAGTGATAGATATAGAGAAAATGTAAGAGACCGGAATTTGTCCAGAAAGTATATTTGGTTGGGAAGCTTGCCCATGCACTATATATAGGGTTTATTTAATGGATCATGGGGGGATGAACATTCAGGAACAAAGATTTGTGAAGTTGTTGTCATTCCACCTTTATTACAAAGATAATGTGTTCTTCACACCTCAGCTTAATTTCTGTTTGGTTTAATGCTAAGGGCAATCTCTACACTTGAGACTTCTTTATGAAACCCCTGATAGGAATAGTGGATCGCAGTGGACCACTGAGATATTTATAGATAAAGAAATACTATATTCTGTAGTCCTTATGAATCACCAATCCTTACATTGATGATGCACATTGGTGACATTCTGTCTGAGAAAAAAAAAAAACCCATATACACTGTTGCTTTTCAATAATATATATTCATATATATTGTATCATAAAGATTTACTAGTGCAAAATTAGTCAGATTTGCAAAGTCTGTGTCCTTGTTAATAGATCTATTTTTCTTGATATTTCAATGTATGCATACTTATATTTTGTTCAGATCAGCTCAAAATTCCTAGGTTTCATCAGTAGTATTTGTTTACAACATGTACCCATATTGCTTGTGAAAATATTTCGTACTGCTTGCAAATACTGCTGGTGGACTTCAAGTCCTCGAGGTTTGCTGTAACCTACATGCCACACTAATTCATTCGAATATTGGCACGGTTCAGCATATTCATGCCTATTGATGCCGTCAAAAATATCTGAAAATAATTTATAAAACTACTGGGCTATATTTTGACTTTCTAACATTTTGGATTTTCCTCAACTGCCTCAATAGGCTTCAAAATTCTAGAAGGATGAAACAACTTACTTCATTGTTTGGCTCTGCTGTAGCTAACTTTACATTATTTAAAGGTGCTTTTCACATTTATGGTTCTTGTACAATCTTTGACACAAAAAGAGGACAAGTAACAGAGCACCTTATTGAAAATGTAGCCACCTCCTTGCCATAATGATAAAAAAAATGTTTTATCAAACTGCATATGCATTAATGAGTTATGACTATAATTGGTAAAGAGGTATTTTTTAAGAATGAAGCTAAAGATCATTCATGCATCTTCATATATTTGTGTTATGCATGTGTATAGCTAATATTTTATTTTAAAATGAACTTTTTAATACAACATTGTTTCCCATTGTTTCCATTTACATGAATGAGTTGTGACTATAATTGGTAAAGAGGTATTTTTTAAGAATGAAGCTAATGCAGATATTTTATTTTAAAATGAACTTTTTAATATAACATGCATCTTCATATATTTGTGTTATGCATGTGTATAGCTAATATTTTATTTTAAAATGAACTTTTTAATATAACATTGAACTTTTTAATACAACATTGTGTTATGCCTAATATTTTATTTTAAAATGAACTTTTTATTTGTTTCCATTTACATGAATGAGTTGTGACTATAATTGGTAAAGAGGTATATTTTTCAGAACGAAGCTAAAGATCACTCATACGTCTACATATATTTGTGTTATGCATGTGTATAGATAATATTCTATTTTGAAATAATTTTTTTAAAAAGAACACTTATTTCCCTTTGAATTCACAATTGATGAATTGATTGATGAAGATACCGTTTATCAAAGCATTAATAACCATATGTGTTAATTAATTAATTCTTTAGTTAATTAATGAAAACAAAGAAAATACTAACATATCAACAGAATATAAATTCAAAATATATTCTCGATATGAACATAGAAAGATTTACATGTAGACACCTGCAAAAGGACAAGGAGAATAAGGTCAGCTCCCAGTTGCTCTAAACTTGGTAAGAGATGTAAGCCAGCGGTTAGTGAAAAAAAATATTGTTGCCACTGAAAACACAAAATACTTCAAAAGCATAATTGACAATAAAAAAATATCAAATTGTCATATCTCAAAATGTTTTGATATGAAACGACGAAAAGGTCCTCACATTTGTTTAATCATATTTTTAAAAATCTCAAACCGCTAGTTAACTCCAACCAAGATTTTAGCAATTTGGGCCTAGTGTTCCGAAAGGTTTAACAGCACTTATCATCAGTTTAAGTATGTATTCTATCGGCCATGGGCGAAGTATCTTTTCACTTTGTTTTCCTTTTTTTCTTTTATGCATTATAACATATTCAAAACCTCATTGTACCTGCGTTAAATAAAAGTTGACAGCATGTGATATATTGTTCCGACGTATTTCAGTTATTTTAAGAAATTATTAGATGTTGATGTACAGTCCCTAAAACAAATAAGTAAAACATATTATGGATAATCCTGGCAGTGATTGCATTTGTCAAGGGTCATGAAAAACAGTTCGCTCAGGTCGTTGATTTCGTATCTTATTATATAAATAGTAAAAATTTACGTTTTTCTCCAATGGTAAGTTATCTGAATTTGAAAATATCTTTCATTTGTTTGAACACAAAACCCATGAAAATTGCTGTGTTTCTCAATGGTGTAGGAAATTCCGTTTTCTTCAAATACGAGTGGTCATCGGATATCTTTTCAAGGGAAGTAACTCTGCTCTTCTTAGATTTACAGTAGATGTAATTTGTTCTTTTTTTTTTAGGAGAAAACGATGCATTGAAGAATTCTACTATATTATGTATGTAACTATTCTTACTACGATAAGCTGAATATAACAAGGCATTCATCTAACAAATCCTACATTTTGCCCAAATCTGGTTGAAGCATTATTGGATGAAGGGAAATCAGTTTTATACAAAAGGGGGTCTCGCCCCCTTTAGCGGGAGGGGTGGGGCCCAATGGGGATATAGGGTAAATTATTTAAA